TTAAAAAAAAAGACAATGAGAACGGGTGCAGCCACTGTTATAGGTGGGAAGTCGGGTAGGTAGGATACAGACAGGAATTTAATGTGTATCTGTAAGCAACACTAAGCCATTGCTAACTAAAAGACGATTCTGAGCGGAGTTCAGTTGATTAGTAATGGCTTTGTCAACAATATATATGTTATACGAGTTGTATGGTAAAATAATTAAGTAGACATTATATATTTTCTTTTATACTATTTGTTTAATATTGTCTCGTTTTTTCCCTTTTCTCTCCGTTTCTTTTTTTTCGGTTTTTCATATTTGATGAGTAAACTCCTGAGATAATCGAAAAATTACCGCCTTAAAGTAGCATCCCGAGAAAATTTCGCTCCGGAAAAAGGTTTACATTGTATACCTACAACGGAGTAAGCTTCCTGGCAGAAAAAGTGTTCACATAAAAAAAAACAAGAATTGTTACTGGGGATGAGAGCGGCCACTGTTGTGGATGAGAAGTTGGAAAGGTAGGATACATAACGTTATTTCATTTATATCTGTAAGCAACGATAAACCATTGCTTGACGAAAGACGATTCCGAGTGCAGTTCAGTAATATGTAATTTGTAGTGACGTAATTTTTTTTTGCGATTTACATTTCAGTTTAATTTCAAAACACTTATCAAAAAAAAAAAGTTATCCGATGATTTTGAAAGTTTTACCATATCTAGGCAGTTCTAATATAAGTATCATTACCAATTTTAAAGTCTCTATGCGTATATATGACCGAATTACAAAAAAAAACTCCCAAAAATCAAAATTCCCCAAAAGCTCAAATTTTCTCAAAAGTTTTGGCAATGATACTGTAAGAAATTAAATCAAAAAGGCAATAAAAAAGATGTTTTGTGGTTTTTCGATCAAATCATTTTTTTCTGGTAGAAAAAAATCGTCCGTGTTTTTATAAAATAATGAAATCGTGAAATTGTACGTTTTTTCTCACTTGAGTGCTTTTATTTAAAAAAATTACTTCTTTAGGGGTTGAATTTTAAAAATGACAATAAGATATAAAAGTTGTATCTTTATTGGGTAACTAAAATAATAACACAATTATTTTAAAATTGTTTTCTTTTGTTCATAAATGAATACATTTTTTCTTGTAATTAAAAATAAAACGTAACAGCTCTTCAGAATATTTTATAAAATGACATATATATATATATATATATATATTGTTGACAAAGCACTACTGTCAACTGAATTCCGCTCAGAATCGTTTTTTCGTTAGCAACGGTTTATCGTTGCTTACGGGTATACATTAAATTATCTATCTAACAGCCGCTGCGCCCGTCCCATCTATCCTATGGCGTATTTTTATGTGTATACAGATCTATAGATCGTATCCTCCGCGATAATGAAACGATAAACAGACGGCAACCCGACACGATAATAGTGTGACGGACCTCTGCCGACGCTCGCGGGCGGTTTTTTTTCAAATAACATTACGACTAGGCGCAGCAGCAGCAGCACCATCGCTATTGTCATTGTCCGGCGCGGCGTTTATTATTATGATATTATTGAACTCCCGCAGTGGGCGAAAGACAATAATAATATTTTGTTATAATTGTATCGCAACAAGACAATAATCAAATGTTATATTACGGTACGGTAATTAGAATACCATAATACGGTATGTACGTGTGTACCGCGACGACGGTCGCGGGTGCCACGACATTATAATGGCGTAACGTTATCCGCCGTGTGACGGGGCGCGACAGATTTCGCGGTGGCCCGCGTCGCGGTCGTCGTCGTCGTCGCCGCCGCCGCGGCGTCGGCTCGGCATTATTACGTTTAACGGCGGCTACGATAAAAAAAAAATAAAAAAACCACCGAGACGACGACCGAACGCCCTCAGCGCACACTTCGCGCGCGGCGAGCAATAATAACAATAACCGTCGGAGAACTCCGAAGGTCGTTGATCCCGTTCGCGCGCACAATAAATAATAATAATAATATTATCGGTACCATAACGTTATGAGAATATTATAACGTACGCGGCGCGACGACGAGCGAGCACCGTGTGCGCCGGAGAAATGCCGACGGGACGGGACGAGAATACCGAACAAAGGAACATTATAACACGTTCGGAACACGGCGATGACGACGGCACGTCATTGTGACGCGCTCCGAGCGGGTAACGCCGCGTGCGTTGTAAACGCGCATAAGCGACAGAACCGCTATAGTGTAATATCGTAACAATGATAATGGCACGTATTATGTATTCGGACGTTATTATGTATTCGATCGCGCGCGAACACGTACCGCCGCGTTTCGTTACGATACCCATGCGTCCTCCGTGCATTTCGCGCGTTCGCCCCTTTGCCCAGAGTTCATCGCCGCGACAATATCGCCGTCCGAATGGCCGCCCGTTGTATTATTATTTTTTTTTTTTTTTGTAATATATGCGCGCGCGCGAATTATCGCCCGTACGCCGCATTGTACCGCGGTTCCCACACAGCCGCGGCCGTAAAACGCACGCGGAACAGTAACGCGGCGATGTACGTAATTGCGCGAACGTTGTAATACGCGTGAATAACAATCCCGACGAAAACCCCGCGCGAAAACTGTGCGTGCGAAATACCCGATGAGGGGAAAAAAAAATTCGAGTCGGAAAAGTTGCGATATCAAAAAGGGGCCGGAGTAATTTCTCAAATTCATTGGTATAAAAATTGTTTATAATTGTCTGTACTCGATGAAGTGCGACGTACACCATCAATGAAATAATAGTAATAATAATAACGATATGATAAATACGGCGGTGCATTTGGGATTTTGCCCGGGAAGGGGATGTTGACTTTGGAGTTGTGTACGATGCAGTGGTATAGCCGGGGGGGGGGGAGGACAGAGAGGCCATGCTTACCCCGGAGGTATTTTCTAATGATTTTATACCAGTACATCCATAGATAAGTATTAAGTATTTAATATTATATCTATGAGTACGGAAGTACCTATGATAAAATTGATACATAATATGTAATTAGTATAATATTATATCCCAAATACATGAAAGTAGTGATTTTGATAAAAATAGTAATTCCAATAAAACTTTGTGAAACACGATGGGTCGATCGACATGATTTACTTATTACTTTCAAAGAACTTTACATGTATACAATTGGTATTCTAGAAAATTTTAGAAAATATGATACAAATCCTGAAAATACAACTAAAGCGTCGTTATATGTGAGTCCTATAATCAAGAAATTATGTTAACATTTACAAAGAAAAAAAAAACTATAGACAAAAATACTTCTAAAATATATTCCAGTAGATTTCAGTTTATTTAAAATTCAGTTTGAGTATCTCAGATTCGATTAGGTTATTTTTAATATCCACGTTCGTTAAACCCTAAGGAAGATTTTTATGGACCATTTTGGTTTTTAAAAAAGAGAAAAAGTAAAAAAAAAAAATTGAATTTCAATAAAATAAGAATTTTTTTTTTTTTTAGGAAATCTGATAAAATAAAATTGGTCCAACATTTATATGTTTAGTTTAATAAACAACAAATAAAATAAATAATAAAGTAAAGTACCAAAAAACTGTCCTAGGATATGGGCAACGGGTTGTACGTGGGTTCAGTTATTAATGATGCATTGTCAACAAACAAATAATTAAATAACTAAAATAATTAAATAGGTATAATATATTATCTTTAATAAAATTTGTTTAAAATTGTAGTATTTTACCAATTTTCTCGTTTTTTCCATGTTTTTTTTCCCGGTTTTTCACATTTTCTGGGAAAATTGAAAAATTGGAGATCTTACTCCGATTTTTGTGTGTAGCACCTTGTCTGGAAGAAAATCGGCGTGGAGGTACATTAAGGAGGTCGTTTTTCGATTTTCTCATTTAAATGATTTTATTAATTTCGCACACAGATAGCTATTATGAGGTGGGCATCCGCCAAGAAAAGATTTTTGAAAATTCAATTCCTAAGGTGGTAAAATATGGGTTTTTAGGTATATTCGGTACGAACATCTCGTTGCTTATTGATTAATTTTTGTTTATCCGAGGGTCACCCTTGTATTGCGGATGATAATTTGGTTGCCGCGGAAAAGAACACTATTACAATTGTTATTATTACTGTTATTTACACTGTTAAAATTTCACAATAGAACACATTTAGGCCGCCGAAGGTATTTGTTTTCATTCGACTCTGACACGGTCAAAAGCAAAAATGAATATGGGTAAAGTAATAATTGGCCCGGGCGCGAGACAGCTAGGGTGTAATATACACATAAAGTTTATATTATGTTTATGACATATTTTCCAGCGGCTGCCACTTTTTGTTCATCAAATTAGTGTCGGATAATTCAAAATATACTTACCTACACTATCGCATAAAAGGAATAACCACTTATTAATCGTACACATTAAACTATACACATTATAGACTTTATTCCCTACAAAGTCTATTGAACTAACACTGTTATTCGGGTTAGTTCAAACAATCCAAAACCAATGTTCCGATACCGAAAAATCGGTTTTTAAAGTAATTTTTGATTAAGGATTCCGAAAATTCGGCAAACGCCGATTTTTCCCACTACTAATATTATATACCTATCAGGATTGAGAAAAAACATGAATTTTCAAATTATATATTTTTTGAAGTAATTCATAATATTTTCAATTCGTCATAAAATTACCATTGAAATCTAACAATTGTAGTTGTGTTTTATTATTATTCTATGGTTTATTTGATGTTTAGGTATTAAATTTAACTTCATTCAGCATCTTAATATTATAGCAGTTTGGATAGGTTTCGTTCTAAACAAGACAATTGTATACGTCCGGGGTATTTTTGACATATGTGCCAGGTAGGTATCAACACATTTTCGATTTGTCTAATTAAGAAAAAATAAAGAAACTAGAACTCAAAAAAATATAAAAGATAATCAACATATGAATATTATACATATACATATATATATAAAAACTAAAAAAAAGGCCAATAAGGACACTTCGTAATATTCGCCTTTAAATACGTCACGGTAATATTATGTTATATTGATAATACGTCCGTCAAATTATTATATTTTAGATTATATTGCTTACAAATAAGTACTGGTTGAACCGTGGCGCCCAGAAACGACCAGAGATTATCGATGATAATCGTTGTTGGAATTATTTATCCAGTATCATCGAGGAAACCGCGAACAACTCAACTCTTTCATTAGCACCGGAAAAAATCGTAAAATCAATTTGAAAAAGTAAACGAAAAGAACTCCACTGGAAAGATGGGGAATATTTAATCACTGAATATGATATTTTCTATACAGTAACAATTTTGTGGTAACAAAGTGGTAACTATTAAGGACCAAAACACCCAATTGACGCTTTATATAAATGTATAATTCGCTCAATCGCGTTATGTACATGGAAATGTGGGTGACAACAAAAACAGATGGGCAATGTTTTTGATCGAAAAATAATTCTCAGACAGGTATTTGATCCCAATAGAGACCGGTTTACGAACTATAACGAAAAACCGTATGCCCAAAGACGCCGCGATACATTTACAACAATGAAAATCAAGAGAATAAGCTGGGGTTGATCGGATGTGTGGCGAGCACAAGAACAACTCTAATCGGGGAAGTCACAAAAAAGGGTCACTAGAAAGCAAAAGTAACTCTATAGGCCTTCAAAGGCAGCGGTGGGCAGATAGTTAGTTCAGAAATACATGAATATGTACGTAACTACAGGGAGTGAACGATGGGGAAGACATGACTGCTCTGATGTGTACAATGGTTAAAGTGGGCTCGATTTTGACAGTGGACTATAGTTAGTTCCCAAGAGCTAATTTAACCTAACAAAACTTTCAGGAAACCCATCGTGGGGACGATGGCCTTCCAAAATATCCGCATTTCACATCACACATTTGTTCATGAAAATACGATACAAATAGGATTTAGAAACAGACTACATCTTGATGTTTGAACTAATATACGTGCGTACCCGTGTGTCGTATATAAAAAACAAATCACCTTGACGGGAACCCCCAGAAAAAAAAAAAAAAAAAAAAACAAACCGAGTACGCTGAAAACTAGAAACGAAACGACCGGGGACTCTTCCGCGCGCGAGAAAACGCGACGATAATTAAAAATCGCGTATTTTCATTGGTGCACGGCGCGTGGGCCGAATCGGATTGTTAAATACACACACACACACACACACACAGTATATTATAACACGCGTATTATAATATACACACATGCGCGTACGGTACACATTATAGTGTAACAATGCAAATTGCAAAAACCCTATGCACGAATCGTGCGTGGGACTTTAGAAATTGTACGCAACGGACTCGTACTCCGTCGCAAACGTGCGCGCGCTAAAAAGTACTGACCGTACACGACGCGGCCAACAATAATAATGACAACGCGCCCGCTTATTATTATATCGTCATTGTCAATACCGTAACGACGTGATCGTGTATATGATTTTCGTCGAAAACAACCCGCCCGGCGTACAGTGTCCGGAGTGTGCGCGCGGGCGAGCGCGGAAATAAAAAAAAAAATAAAAAAAAAACGTCCGCGCGGTACGCGGTACGTGGTTGCGTAAAAAATAAATAAAACCGTTTATTAAATGCGCGCGCGACACACGCCGTGGCCGTGACACTTTCTCGGCGCGGCAACAATAACTATTGTAAATAAGAAAGATGAAAATGTATTTTAACGGCGCTGGTTGTACGCCATGGCAGGCAGGCACTGTCCGCGGCTACTGTTCCAGTTTGACGCCGGCCAATATGAGCGACGGGTTCTCCACGTAAGTCTTCCAGTCTTTGAAGAACCTGGCCACCGCCGCGCCGTCCAGGATCCTGTGGTCGGCCGCCCACGACACGTCCATGACGGGCGTCCGGACCAGCCGCTCCTGGGCGTCGTACCGGGCCCGGTACTTGAGCCGGCCCAGAGCGCCGATGGCCGCCTCGTGCGGCAAAATCACCGGCCGGAACGCGGAGCCCGCGATCGATCCCATGTTGGACAGCGTGAACGTGCCGCCCGTGACGTCGGTCAGCCCGAGCTTGCCGACGACCGCTTTGGCGCGGAGCTCGGCCAACCGGCCGGCCACCTCCATCACGGTGAGCGTCTGCACGTTTTTGATATTGGGCACGGCCAGGCCGAGCGGCGTGTCGATGGCCACGCCGATGTTGTGCGCCTCGTTCAACCGGTACGACCCGTAATCCGAACTGGGAGTGCAATTGACGCGCGGGTGAAGGGTCAGCGCCAGTGAACTGGCTTTCACCAGGAACGGAAATAACGTCACCTTGACTCGCTCCGATATCTGCGTCTTGAGCTCAATCAACCTGGTCAGGTCCACCTCGTCCGTGATGACCAGGGTGGGAATCTTGTTGGATATCTCCATCGTGTTCCGCATCGCCTTGTCGTATCCGGTCAACGGTATGTAGTCCGCCGGGGCAGCCGCAGGCGTCGAGCGCGCGGCCGGAGTACCACTAGCCGCGGCGATCGGAGTAAACGGTCGTTCGAGATCCAACAGATCTTCTTTGAGCACCCGACCGTGTTTGCCGGTACCCCGGACGGTGGCGAGGTCGATGGATTTTTCCGCGGCTATCCTGCGCACCGCCGGCGTGGTCAGCACTTTGCCGGCATCGCGGTCGTCCGGGCCTCCTGCCGCGAGGTCCGACCGCGGTTCGCCGGACGACGGTCGTTCCGAGTCGTCACTCACTACGGGGACGACGACGGACGGCTGTTCGCCGGCCTCGTCTTCGACTTCCATGTCCACCAGAGCGCTGCCCACCCGGACCGTGGAGCCCGCCTCGTGGTGCAGCTTTGTCACGGTGCCCGTGTACCGGCTCGTTATGGTCACGGCCGCCTTGTCGCTCTCCACCTCGCAAACGTCGTCAAACTCCGTGATCCGGTCGCCCGCGTTCACGTACCATTCCTTGACGGTCACCTCGCTTATGCCCTCGCCGATGTCGGCCAACAAAAACGGCACGGTTTTCTTGGCGCCGCTGCTCGAACAGTATCCGGCCGTCAATACGCGGACGGCGGCGCCGTTACCGCGTCCGCCGGCGCCACCCGGACGTGCCGAAAACGCGGCGTACGCGTAGTGCCTGCCGTTCGGTACCGCCGGACGCACGGGCGCCGCGCAATTCCGGGCTCCGGGCCGCCGGAACCAACGGGCGCCGACGGCTACGACGCCGCGATGCGATCTCGCCGTGCGTCTCGTCAACACGCTAGCCGGTAACATGTCGCCCGGTATAAATATTACAACGGTATTACAATGTCGCGCACGTGCGTGATGTGCGATGGCCGTGCGACAGTCACGACCGTAACACCGGTCGGTTATTTACGCGCGGGTGCATCGCCGGCAGACTGACTGATAATGCCATTGGGATATTATCATATAATCCGATTCCGTGGGCCGCGTTATACCGGCTAATATTATGTGCGCGCATGTTAATCAGCTGAACCCAAGGTCAAAGAACGAGCGCACCTGCGCGGGCACTCGTAATTCGTGTTGCGCCGCAATGAACTTGCGCTTTAAACGCGATGACGCGCGCGCGTTTACAATATCGGGTACGCTGGCTACTCGCACGGGGCGGGCGCGTTACACGCCATTGTCGTTATTGTGATAATAATGATAACAATATCGTGTAAAAATAAACGACGCGAACGTGTACAGCGACCGAACGTCTTATTACACCGCGCCCGACGTCATACCCGTACCGATTTGTTCGTATATATTCGTAATCGAATGCGAGCACGGTGCGTGTATTACAAGCGAATTACCCACCACCCGCTGCCGTTTCGCCGTATTGTACGGCCGTCGTGCCGCGCGTTATCGCTGTCGGATTCAATAACGAGATGGCCGAATATAACGTTACACGCGTATGCGCGCGCACGCGCATATATAATACGATAGTTAATTCGCTTCTTTTTTTTTTTTTTTTTTTACTCCGACGTTTTATGTAATAACGTAAACCAGTTTTCGTTTGTCGGCCGGGGTATGGTATAAAAGCGTAAATATTTTTACGTTGTTCGAAATGCTTCGCGGCGCGCGCGTGTCGGACTGCGGGCCAAAGTTCGCCGAATCAAATAACGCGCAATAATCGGCCGGTACACCAGCAACACCGTGCGGGTACAATAATATGGCCAGTACCTACTGCTACACCAGCGTTATTGCAGTACGTACGCGGTACGCGATTTTCACTAGGCACAATAACGACGACGGCGCTCGTGTGAAATCGAAAATGTGATCGACGAGCCGCGCGTGAACCGGCGGTACGCTGGACCCCGGGTCGTTTTTACTCGAGGAGTTCGACGTTTGCGTCGCGTACTCGCGCACAGCTTTTACCGGCTAAACGTGCGCGTGCTTGAACGGTCATCAGTGTGTTTATTTCTGGGGGCGGCCGGAGCATTACCTCACGAGCGCGGACGATTTTACGCCACCCCGATTATGAGTCATCTTGTCGAAAATAAAATTTAAAAACGGACGGACAGCCACTGTTGTAGATGGGAAGTTGGGAAGTTCACATAAAAGAATTAGTTAAAAGACAAAGATCATTTTATAATGATCTTTGTTTTTTAACCAATACATTCTCCGCTAAACTTAGAATCTAAAAACATTGTGTTTTCTAATAAATAACCATAAAATTGTTCATTTTGAACAATTTAGTCAAAACCAGAAGAGTTTGCGAAAAAATACTGCAGTCACAAATTGCGCATGTGAGCGTTTATTTTCGAAATTCGTATTTGTTGAATCCAAATTAGGAAGTTCTATGCATCGATTAATTAACCGTATACTCATAACTATTGAACATGAAATAACCATTAATTTAAATCCGGAAGACATTATTGATGATTTTAAAAATTCTGCGTAACGCAATGGTATTATTAAAAATTAAAAATTACATCGAATTTATTTAAGTAAAACAGTTAATTTTGAAATTAAACATTTAGTAAAACGTTTATTTACATATTTCTGTGAACTGCTTTGTTTACGAATCCCGTTCAAAATCATAAACTGTCCGTATGCAAACACACCTGAAGAACTCAAGCCCCAGAACTTAAATGCCTAATACGATAGGCTGACAGCAGCGTTTTGCATACTCTGTAAAAATAGGTCCGTGCACGCCTATGTATCGTTACAATGTAAAATTCTTGGCGATTTCGTACCTAATCGTTGCACGAGCGCCGAACAAATATTTCTTGGTTTTCGGTCACGTAACAACCGAATGAACAATTTGATCAATTTATGTACAATATTATACGATATAATGCTTCGAAAATACTATAGGCGTCTCAATGTCTCAGCGTCCCAATAGATATATTAACAAAAAAGACTATCGACCGACGGGTTAATAGTAATTTCCGTTTCATTATACACATTATATCGCATAATAATGCATAGCATATACGTATACATAGTATTTAAGTATAATAAAGTTCTTCTGGTGTTTTCGTTGTTCAACAGCTGGTGTACCGCTTGTATACAATTAAAACTAGAAGGACAAGACAACGGGCGGATGGGGAATTATCGAAAATGGGCATAATATAACGCACACATTTGTGTTGAAAATCGAGCTAAGAGTACAGGTACCGGGGCGTGGACGCCCCCATCGCCCCCATTGGATCCGCCACTGGTTTGTAACCATAAATCATAATTGGATAGTTTAAACACAATATACAAAAAAAACATATTTCTCGTTTACCTACTCGTGACGTAATATAAAGGAATTTACGATTCATTCGTTATTTTTTTTTTATATATATGACTCAAAAGAAATCTCGTATGTATTATACGTAATATACGTTCAATCAGCGGTGATTTTCCGTCTTTGTCTAATAAACGCGCAACATAGGAACTCCTACCGTTTGATCAGGTGAAGAAACACGAGTTCTGGAAACGGACTTGAATTTGTCGTCGGTTTTACTTGGGATCGATTTTTCCACATTTTTGATTTTATCTCTCTAAAGCCTAAACAATTAAAGACGCAAAACAATCATTTCCTAATCCCTCGATAATAACAACGATAAAATACATATTTTGAAGTTGACATTGCACATGTTAATATTATAAATTTCGACTATTTATCGAATATCGTTTTATTGCAGATAAACGCCGTCAAGTACATACCTATTATAATATCGCATGGGGCAATTCGTTCAATAACACTTTTAAATTATCAACTACCTATAATATAATTTCATAGGTATACAATTATAACATTATGATTTTTACATTTTATTATTCGATTATAAAACATATTATAATGTGGTATAAAAACACGAAACAGTGACATTGTATAATAAATGTTATAAAATATACATAAGTACTGAGTATGCGGACTATTATTGGTTATAACGTGAACGTTGGCAATTTTTAAATAAACACATACATATTTATTTAAAAACCATACAAGTACATAAACTGTGAAGAAATGTCTAAGACGTACCTATGTATATGCATATTTATTTAATATATGTAAATTGCGCAGAATATATGATAATTCGTTTAAAAATGTAATTCAATTTTTTTCCTTATATGAATAGATGGTTGCCTAAGCGATTATTTATACAAAATTATAGTTTCTATTGGTAAAATTGAATGAAACAAAATATTATCCGCACCATTATTTGACTATGTATGATGCGTATTATAGGAAGGAAATTATGACATTTTCTAAATATTAATTGATTTTATTGATATTTACCTACAAGTACATATTGTCCGAGTTATATTGTTAAAGATTTTATTTATATTAAACTATTTATCATAAATTTCTATTGAGGTTTTGTATAATGTTTGAAAGTGTGTCACCACGTTCGAAAATTTTGCAAATTGTATTCTATTAAAAGGATGAAATTACGTACATACATTTATAATATTATATAGTAAATGTATACAAAACGACTCTTATGCTTAAATGAATTTGTATATAAATAAATAGGTATAATATTATGACGAAACCGCATTACCATATTTATTTTTTATTTTTAACTATACGATTTTATACAAAACGAATAATAATGTATTAATGTTACTACTAAACTGACGAATCATAAAAAGAAAAAAAGAAGCCAGTCTATTACGGGTGTTTTGTACATTTTCGCTTTTCGCTCCTTATAAAAAAATACCTATAGTGTTGTAAGAAGGCCAGGGTTCTACGTGAGAAGTTGGGAAACTAGGATAAATATTAACATAAAGATAATTTAGTTTATAACGATAAATCATATGGCATATTTAAACTAAATATTGTATTCATTTTCAATTAAAAATTAAATTACAACATCGTTCGTGTTTTTAACGAATTTTATCATTAATTTCAACTTACAGTTCAAAATAAATTGCAGAATTTTTGTCCACATAAAATCGGGAACTATATATATAAACGTCATTTTAGTGAACTGCGTTTAGAAAGATAATGGGATGGGCAAAATCCACAGATTTTTTTTAAAAAATCTATGTTTTATGTTCGATTCCTTTTTTATTTTTGGCGACAGTAAAACCTTTTAAATTGCTAAATTTGAAAACTGATAACTGATAATAGAATACTGTAAACGTATATCGTATTATCATTATTTTAATCATAATATTATTATCAAAAAAACATTAACTCATAATCATATTCATCAAAGTACTAAATACATCACGTAAATTGCGAATTATGACGAAGTTAGGTCTATAGGTATTAAAACTTATTTTAACGTTTTTTTTTTTTTGTCATTCAAACTGTTCAAAGACGGGTCGCAGTTTGGTATGAGAATATTTAAAAAAAAAAAATACTAATGCTACTGCGACTTAACAATTATGCCTGAAAGTATAGGGTGTGGTACGAAATCTCGACAATCAAAATGCCGACAACCGAAATATCGACTGTTAAATAATATCAATTGTTGTATCGAAAAGAACGAAATATCAGCTGTTGAAAAAACACTTGAATTTTAAATTTTTGAAATAATATTTTAACGCAATGAAAATTAAGCGTGAAATTGTTCAAAAAAAAGTAAATAAACCAGACACAAATATTATAATATAATAATGTTATTCAAAGACTATTATTTCTTTTTAAATTCAGTACAAAATTTTAATAATAATATTTTTTGGCCACAACGAAATTATTGTTATAATATAGTATAATGGCTTTCATAATCTTATTATAAATATGTATTATTTAATTTGTCAATATTTCGTAATTTTTAATATTTTGACTGTCAACATTTTAACCTATCGACATTGTCGGCGTTTCGACTGACTCCCGAAAATATAAATATTATGAGGTAAACAAATGATGGCATAACTAGTATACAAAAATTGTTCGATGTTTTTCTTCCGGATACATCAAACTGTCGATATTTTTAAAGTCGATGTATTGATACATCGAATATCGATATCCAAACAATTTTGCCTATCCCTAACTGGGAGAGAGATAGTCGTACCAGAGGGGTGTAGTCATGGAAAATAAAGTTACAATTCGTCTATTCCATTATATTAAACTTTTATATTTTAATTTGTATCATATAGTATGTTGTCAATTACCCATATTATAATATTTCTGCGTGTACAAAAAAATGTTCAAACATTCTTTTTTCCAATATTCTCCTCTGATATATCGTTCTCTCTTGCACAATACTGTCAATGATGGCAGGAGTTGGCTGGAGGTGAGGAAAGTCCAGTCCATTTATTTTACGCGTATATGCTATAGAGCTGAAATTCTAATGCACTTTATATTGTTTTACAAAACTTGCTGTACGATATTCGTTTTGTTACAAATTCTTTTGATGTACTTATTTTTCAATAGCTGACTTATGAAATGATGTATGCGCCGGTACGTGTCTGACTAGTGTGAATTATCCTTAGTCATCAATTTAAAATATTAATAATAAAAGTGTACTATACACTAATGTAAGTTATAACTAAAATGATACTACATAGAATAATAGAATAGGTAATTTTAACTGGGAAAACAGATTTAAACAGTTGCGCGTGGATGTCACAGGTCTTATAGTTATATTGGTGTCAACTCACTTTATTGGCGTGATATTCCATGACTCTATCCATTGTGCACGGTCTATGACCAAAACGCAGTTAACGAGTAGCTTATTTTGTTTGTTTTATGCATTTTTGAATAAAAATAAAAAACATTTATTTTGAGTTTTGATGATTTTTGATTTTAAAGTTATATTATGTTCATTTTAGGTGCATTTTATAGGTGTAATATTTTGAATTTCTAAAGCATAAACGCATTTTTTTTTTTAGGGAAGTTTTGTACATTATTTATGAACAACTTAAAAAACTCCAGGATGTTTTGTATCACATCTAGAACGTACTGATTTGAGTATTTAGTAAAAGTTTCAAGTCTTCGCGATCTTTTCCCATTGAACTACAATAAAAAATAAAATCGAAATTAACGTACACCGTTATTATTATTGTGTAAATATTCCAGTTTTTACACCAACTGGGCAAAATTTGCTACCAGAAACTATTCACGTTGTTGATGGTCGGAAGAAGATTACTATTTGTTCACAGATATAAAAAAAACACACATAATACAATCAATATGAATTAATTTCATGTAATTCTTAGGCCTGTATTATATTATTAAAAATAAATAATAATGTCTCGCTTCGCTGAGAATCTAAAATACATAAACTCACAAATTCATTCACAAATAATTTTCGTTGAAAACAATATAACATACAACAATTTCATTGAAATTCGGTGACTCATAGGTACAATATACGTATGCGTAATATTATAATATAATAAAGAGAACAAGGACTTCAAGTATATAATATATGTATCATATAGGTACGATACAGGAAAACGTTAAAATCGCTGGGTGTAGCTGTACAAATCGTCGCCGTGTTATTTTTTTTTCGTGTAATATATTCGTAAAAATACCTGCAGCACAGTTCCTATACCGGTCGGTTCCTAGACAGTCGGACACCCTGTACATAACACGTATTCGATATTTTCTCCTATCCCGTCGACGACGTAGTATAATATTATGTTATTTTTAATTTGAATATTATTACATCATCCGGCGGATGGAATATAAATTACCCATTTTTTTTTTTTCGATTCGTTAATCGAATCGTTCAATTACACGCGCATTATACACACGTTTTATCATAGTATTATTATTATATTATAATATCGAAAATAATATTAAAACTATATCATAATAATGCATCGCTGTTGTATACATACTGCAATATGTCTATAACGTATTATAATATTATATCGACAGTTGAACTCACTATCGTCGTTCTGGGCGTCACTGTCACTGCCACGGTTAATAATATTACAATAATAATAATATAACACCTCTATATAGTAATAATACTTACGCGTTTCGACCTCCATTTCACACCTATTGAACGCCACCGCAAATGCCCGTGCGGCGGTGTAAAATGTCATCTATATACTTTCACATTCCGAATGCATTCGATCATTTGTTTTTGTTTTTGTTTTTTTTATTTCCGCTGACATTTAGATGTGAATATCGCAGATACGATAACAATATTACGGGGTAACTATCAGCAACGTAAGTATTGTGAGAGCACCGATATTGCTTTGCGGATTGACGCCCTGCAGGAATTAATAAACAATCGAAAAAAAATGTGCTGTACCTACACATTGAATACATTACACAATATTTAAACGATTAAAATAATGAATCACACTCGAATGATATATTATTGATACCTATAGGTATCTATAATCGGTATGGTGCGGTCGGCATTAGGTATGTCGGTCGTTACCAGTGGTGTGCGCGTGGTAGGAGGGTCATAGCCAGGATATATCTTGCATTTGTTTAAAATTACAAAAACTATTATTATTTTTTTAGTGATTTAATCTGGGAAATCTTGGAGTGTAATATGTAATGTGGGATCAAAACTTTTAGACGATAAAGGCAAATATATAACATCACCTACAAACTATAGTGACCTGAAATATCAAAACATGCGAAATTGAACATTAAGTTATTGTATAGAATATGAATAGATTCGTATTTTTAAGACGCTTGTTAGTTATATAGTTTTGAGGTTTTACCGACAGGTTCACTGTGGCAAATCAAAATGTCATCATGGCTTATAAATGTTATTTTTTGATTTTCCCAGGGGTTTTCAAAATAAATGAGAAAACCCATGAAAAACGTAGGAAAAACGGAAAAATGTACGAAATGTATTATTTTCAAATCGTACATATTACGGTGTTTAAAAACATGTGTAACCAAATTCCACTCAGAATTGTTTTTCGTCAGCAATGATTAATCGTTACGTACAGATAATACATTAAATTCCGTTCTATATCCTACCTCTCAAACTTCTCTTCCACAACAATTGCCCACATATCGTGTGATGTATGTCCGTGTTTTTTTTTTACAATTTGGTTAGAATTATTCGTAGCAGAGACCTAAAATGTTTACCGAATACTTATATCAGCATTTTATTTTTAATTTTGAACTATTGATAGCCATTTGAAATGTTCTAATTTTTCAGTTTTAATTTGGTTTTATGTAGATAAATAAATTGTTTTGACCTAAAAAAAAGTATTTTTTTAAGCGTTTTAAGTTAATATTTTGAATATGTTAACCGGCCTTCGTTCAAAATCGTTTTTCTTTAACAATGATTTATAATCACGTACAGATATAAAATATAATTACTTATTTAATATATTCTACCTTTCCAACTTTGTACATTCAACAGTGCCACAGAGTACACCCATCAAAAGTATCAGTTCTTTTTTTTGTTACCTATTAGGTAGGTTACATGAATAATTTAATTATACCGATAACACTCCATCTATATGTAATAACTTGGTAGGTGTTATTGGTTTATAGGTTTATTATATCTAACATTTGATGTTACATTTAATATGCACCAGATTTAGCCTTGATTATTATCAATAATAAAATTATATTATACATTTATTATATGTTTTTCGGTATATTATCAGTAGATTTAAAGGTTACATAATAACATAATAACATAATAAATACAATATACAATTTTAAGTTGACATATATTTTTTGACACAACGCTATAAGACAATAGTTAAGAAAATATAATAATAACATAATCATTTTTGAATTACATTTATTTAGATTCAACCAAAATGTAATAAAATCACAAAAATTAACTTGACACTTATATTAATACACAATTTTTTAATTCTATTTTTAGTTGAAAGTACATTTTTTTGGAATTTACTGCAATATAATCTACCTATCCTTCGTCGTGTTCTTAAACTCTCTAATCTAAGCTGGCTAGTAGCTACCAATAGCTGTATCATAGATAGGCATAACAATATTTTGTGATATTTTTTTCATGTTTTATTCTATGTTCTAAACATAGATAGCGCGATAATTTATAACGCTGGGTCATATTATTACACCTATAATAAGGGATCTCACAATAAGCACAGTTAATAGACCCCCCTTTATCAAAACATAGTGATTATATGCATATTATTGTCTTCAAGTGTATTAATAAAATTGAAATATCAATAAAATCTCACAACGATATTATCTGGCTCTCATTTAAAGTTTCAATAGCAAAATATGCATTTGTTATTCACCCGTCTACTCAACCCGAGAACATGATAATTTAAACAACTATTATTATTTTAAAAATAATAGAATTCTACCGTTCTTACAAAAATGTGTATTGTTCGTTATACTAATATTCTAATTCCTAAATCATTAAACGGAAATATAATATATTATATAGTGTTAATATATGTCTGGCACCGACTTAAGCTAACTATATTAAAGTAATACAAATGTTCATTATTGTAATTTGTTATATTTTTCATAAGTTGATTTTACTTGATCATACGCTTGATCCACCACCATACCAGCCGAGACTAATTTTGACACGACCGCAGCTACTCGAGAAACAATAACAACAAAACTAACTCCTTGTGCATCACCTGAACTAGCGGTATTAGTTGTTACTTATGGACAAATATTTTGCTGCATACACGCCAAGACCGCTTCTCTGGTGTTTCCTCCAATATTATCGTCCGAAATTAATGATCCATCCTAGTCCCTCACTATGTCACACTTAACTAATTCACCTATAAACAAACTTAAAATAAAAAAACACAACATTTTCTTGTTCATCATAATGTCTAGATTGATAGATCGTACTACAAGTTTCAAATTAGAGTATAAAACCAGACGTTTGTCAGCTAGATATCTAGTATTCACTTTATATAAGGAGTGAACTGAGCAAACTCACTATTATCGATAAGCTTATAAGTTGAAAAATGTACGTTCATTAAAAAGTTTTTTTTTTTTAGAAAATATTAATTTATTAGCTTAGACTTCGACCTACCATAACCTTGATTTTGTTATTATAATAAAATATTTCTAAGTACGTTATAGATTTCAACTTTAACCGTTATAATATTATCATTATGATGCACACTACTAGTTATTATTCAATTTTTTAAAAAAAAAAAAAATGTTTTTACCCACATTGATCGAAATTAATACATCATATTATACATGTTTTTTTTAATGTAATCATGTATATAATTCAATTATATGGTATTATAAATATAGTGAGACAAATCATCTGCGAGTCAATAAATTATAATGTGTATAATGTTTAAATAAAATGCGCAAACAAAATAATATTTCTATAGCTGTTACAGATACATAGTTTATTCGTACAGATATAAATTAAATTATTTTATATGATCTCGCTTCCCAAATTCCCCCCTATAACAGTGACCATAGATGGTATTATACCCTATTGGCAGTGGGGGAGGCAGACAATTAAATTAATTATTAACACTATTTTTTTAAATTTTTAGACTAGTTACACTATAAAAAACAATGTTTTCTTTTTAACTAATTTTGGTATATTTTGTTAGTTCTAAGAATTTAAATTATTAAAAATAATTACAAAAATTTTAATAGTTTATAATTTCGTTATTTATATTATCGTACACATTATTTAGATATATATTATTATTACAGGTTTTTTACACGAAGTGAATACCAACCTACGGTCCATGGACTACCGGTAATCCGCGAGACGTCGTGTGATGTTTCACGAGAATATAACTACAAAAATAAAAATAAAAATAAAAATAAAAGTATAACCGTAAAGCGAAAAAACGAGAATGGTTGTCAGAGTTTATTTACATATTTATTGTACATAATGTCCATTGACGCAACAAGACCACCAACTTTGGGGGTGCTAAAATTATGGACACGTCAAAGACTAATGGGAGTTATGCTTCCATAATCCCCTTTACACGACACTTACAATAGTCAACTACACCTTTCATTTATATTTTCGTATATTCAAATTTATCATAACTATTTTAACATTATTTTTCGTACACGCAGGCAGTATATGTAGGAAACCTATATTTTGTTCTGCTCATTAATTATGAAATACATGGATAAAATATTTAGTCGTTAATATGAAAAAGTTGATTAGGGTTTTTTTGGGGGTACTAATTTTAAACTTGGGGGTGTTAAGACCCTGAAGCACCCCCCTAGTTATGTTTATGATAATGTTACTCGTGATTTTATTATTTATTAAACAAAAAAAAAGTACAAAGAGCATAAAAAATAATGCTCTGTTGAGTACCATGTATAATAATATCTTAAATCGTGATATTTACCGATTAGTTAATTCGATAACGATTTCATCGAGGTTAAAACTTCGAACCATACCTTTGACACATTTATATAAATAAAATATAAATATGTTAATAAATAGAGGAGTAAAAATAAAACCGCAGTAGGTTCAGTTGCTACATTACCCCCCCACCCCACCCCACCCTCAATAGTACCTCCTATAACAATGGCCCATCTACAATGCGAAGTATATCGGCTCTTTTTTATTATTTATGTTACAATTTTACTCTAAATTACATGTTATTTTATTATAAAAAGACAGACATACTTCGCACAATGGGTCGGCCACTGTTGTAGGTGAGAAGTTGGAAAGGTAGAATATAGAGGAGAATTTAATTTATATTTGTATGCAACGATAAACCATCGTTAATGAAAAACGATTCAGAGTGAAGTTTCTTTTGTGTGTACATACATTTTCCCGTTTTTCCCCAATTATTATGAAAACCACTTGGGAAATCAAAAAATAACTTCTTACAGTAATACCCTGATAACATTTTCTTTCAGGAAAGATACTCACACTTAAAAATCTGAGCAAAATTGTAGGTAGAAAAGTTTACAAAGAAAAAAACATCATTGTAAAACTAATACATTCCTCGATAAGCTTCGAATCTAAAAATAATGGCCAACAAAAATAATCATTACCTTAGCATGTATCGGCGAGACCTTTACTGTCACTGAAACGGCATCGCTGAAAAGTCCTATTTAATGTATTTACAGTAAAATTATAAGAAAATGTTTAATTTTTTTTAACAAAAATTGACTTTTTTGGATCTGGTTTTTAAATTCCAACTGTCGAATAAGGTGTATATAGATAGAAGATAATTCTACGATTTATTCATGATGATTATTTACTACATCCCCTCCCACTGAAAATTCCTGAGCACGCCATTGTCCGTTGAATATAAATTGGACGAATGCTTCTATATATTTTCGTAATCATATAGGTCCAAAGACGGGAATCCGACGATAATCATTAGGTAATAATAAATATTAGGTATTATTATTTCGTTCCGTAAAGAAAAAAAAAGTATAGATATTTTCCACAGTATAAACGAAACGCGCTTTGAATAAATAATAATATCTAACGACGAAAACCCGTTTTAATATAAATACCTACCTGCAGGTACTGCAATAATCCTGAGAAATATTTTAGTAAAAGAAATAAAAAATATTTTAGTATATTATTTGAGGGTGACTTCCATAATTATCATTGTTACACGTACCGATATATCCATATATACGACGTGCTATATTTTATTCTTCTCTATACAGGAAACTTTCGTTTTATTTCTACTACATTTTAGATTCTGAGTTGAGCGAAGAATGTATAGGTTTTACAATGAGGTTTATTATTATAATTTTTATTTTCTGTGAACAAATTTTCTACCAGAAATTTTGCTGCAGTTGAAAATTATAGCACTTATTCTGAATGGAAATCTGACCGGGGTAATACTTTAGGGAGGTCATTTTTCAATTTCCCCAAACGTATTCATAATAAATGGAATATACCGGGAAACCATGTAGGAAAAACGGGAAAATTTATGATATGTAATATTTTTAAATCGTAAATATTACGACCTTTCAAAAAATGAATAACAGAACTCCGCTTAGAATCGTTTTTCGTTAGCAATGATTAATCGTTTCGTACATATATACATTACATTTTCAATTTCCCCTCTACCTTCCCATCTTCTCACCTACAACAGTGACTCACCCATCGTGCGAAATATTTCCGTTTATTTTAAAATATCATACATACATATATAATATGTAACTCCATGGAAAATACAAATAATAGATTAACACAGAATTGACCTTATAGTTAATATAATATTGAAATTAATATTATAAAATCAATCAAATGGATGTAGGTGTATTATGTATTGCAGTGTATGCAGCCCCATAACTGCAGCATTATTAGAATAAAATATAATTACGTTTGGAGGTGTTGTCTTAAAGGTTAGTGTAATTAGAAGCATTTTATGTATAATTTATTCTAACCTAACCTTTCCCTGAGGGTTTTCTATAACGTTTCAAGTATAGGTACCTACTTCAATACTCATTACTATTCATAACCAATACAGATTTACATAACACTGACTTCCTTTAAGAATTTATAATATACGATTATACAATTATAAAACTGAATTGGTATCTTACTAATACTTAAAATTATACACAATTATGTATTTATTTTTCGAGTGTGCACAAAACAGTTCGAGAATCGTGTGACAGATTATTTCATCAATTGTACACATTTTATATTTTACTATAACACTATTTCATCGGTATTTGAGCATTCATGTAAAATATAAAAATTAAAATCGTATATTATTTTCTTTTTTAAATTAAACTTTAAAACAATATATTGTTATAAACTTGTAAATGTATAAAATATTTATTATGACACACAATTGTATAATTTAAATTAGAAAGCAAATAATATTTTTTTCATATATAACTCCAGTCTCCAGTGTAAATGTCGAGCACACAATGACTATAACTAAAATTATTTACTTAAAACGAAACAAAACAAACCACTATAACGAGACTGCATATAATTAATTCAATTAATTCGCAAATATATATTTTTTATCAGGAACATTTAACGGGAAACCGTTATATTATATTTAGTAGAAATAAACGATTTTATTGTTAACGATTTTATAGGAGGTTCAACACGATCCAATTTTAAAGATTTAATTTGTCAAAAAAATAATGGGTCTTGAATTGTTTTTAAAGTAAGCTTTCTAAAAACTGTAGGAAAATAAACATTGAAAAGAATTATAAACATGTTTTAAATTTAAATTCTAAACTCCGCTCAAAATCTTTTTTATTGAATTGTGATGATCGTCACGTTCAAATTCAAAATAATATCCAATAACGGAATCACCACAGTGCCAATTTTTTTAAATGTAATATAATATTATGAATTATTATTATTTTCACTAAACTATAGGAAAAAAATTACTATGAAAACGAAAAATTCATTGTACTTACACGTTCTATAATGACACGTGTATAACGATTTATAATGGGCAATTATACATACTAATAAGAATTTATAATAATTATCTTTAATTAAAAACTTCAGTTGTTATTTCTGATGGTATCTGATATTTTTAGTTTTATTACAAGATTTCCTTACCTAATTATCAGATGAGAAGGTGTGCACAGCATATAGATAAAATAAATTATTATTTTACAGCTGAAGTTCCCAGCGTTGTCGGGAGAAATTTATTTGTTTGTAGTTTCATGATGGTGCGTATAGTGACTATAAAAGGTGAATTAACTTTCTGTTAATAAATTGTTACAATATATTTTTATGCGAGTAAGAACAAGAACTGTACGATTTTAATTTTAAAAAAATCAACAATCTACCTAATTATTAAAATGTGGGCATCGGTCCAAATTGCACATTGTTTTTATCATACGCTCTTTTTTAATTATATTATACGAGTAATTAATTGTAGAGTTTATATGTGGTTTCTACAATGTTATTTTGAAATATTACTGATTCCCAGTGTT